GGCAAAGTCAAGCAGATCTGTGTGCTCGTCGCAGAGGACGAGTACATGACTGACATTCGGTCAGCAACAGTTTTTGACGAGAACGAACGGGTTCTCAGCAGCTCATCAATGGACGAGAATGTCCTTGATGAGAAGACTCGGATTGAGCGATATACATCGCAATCCTGGGAGTCGCTGAAGTCAAATCCTTTGTATAAGGATTTGGTCGAATTCAAGGATGTATTCCCTGAATCCGTTCCGTGCGAGTTGCTTAAGGATAAAGGTACTCGACACGAGATCGACCTTGTTCCTGGCACAAAATATTGTGTCATGAAGCAGTGGCCACTGCCTCGGGAACAGGTCGAGGCGATCGACAAGTTCTTTGCCGATCGCCTAGCAGCGGGCCATGTGAGGGAGTCAACTTCACCTCACAGCTCTCCGACCTTCTGTGTGCGCAAGGCCACAGGAGGGTGGCGGATAGTGCATGCGTTCAATAAGTTGAACGCTGCAACGATACCGGCGCAAACGCCGATACCGAGAAAGGACGTAATCATAGATGGTATGTCTAAGAGTACCATCTTTTCGTCCATGGATCTGATGGATGGTTTCTATCAGATCCTAATGCGTGAACGGGACATCCCGTACACAGCAGTGAGCACTCCCAGTGGTATGCTCTGGGAATGGTTGGTGATGCCGCAAGGGCTTAGTAATGCACCAGCCACATTCAATAGATGTGTTTCACATCTATTGAGACCGGTGCGCGAATTCGCACCGAGTTACTTCGATGATGTGTTCGTCCATAGTCGAGCTATGGACGGGAAAACAGACGTGGAAGTCCATAGACTCCACGTCCGTCAGGTTCTTACACTTATGCGAGAGCATAAGTTGTACGCCAACCTCAAGAAGTGTATATTCGCAGCTAGCGAAATACCACTTCTTGGGTGCATCGTCGGAAAGAACGGCGTACGCCCTGATCCAGAAAAGATCAAGGCGATCACCGACTGGCCAGTACCAGTCGATGTCAAGGGACTAAGGAAGTTCCTTGGTCTAGCAGCGTACTTGCACAAGTACTCGCGCAATTACGCCGAAATGACAGTACATCTTTCTTGTTTACTCAAGAAAAATGTAAAGTGGAACTGGAACGCTGACTGTCAGCGTTCCTTTGAACGTATCAAGCAAAGCTTGATGCAATCGCCAGTGTTGGCGATTGCCGATCAAGACAGACCATTTCATGTGGTCTATGACGCCAGTGATTTTGCAATCGGCTGCGCATTGATGCAATATGATACAGACGGCGCCGAGCGTGTCGTCTGTTATCAATCGCGTCAGCTGCAACCGGCTGAGCGCAATTACCCGGTGCATGACAAGGAACTCCTTGCCATGAAGTATGCACTGGCTAAGTTTCGCGTCTATCTCTTAGGAGATAGACCGTTCATTGTATATACAGACCATGCGTCACTACGCACGGCTGTAAATAGTCCACACCTCTCGCAACGAATGGCGAGATGGTTGTCGTTCTTCGCGGAGTACAACTTCTCCGTGGAGTATAAGCCGGGACGACTTAACGTCGTCGCCGATGCTCTTTCACGTCGGCCTGACCTAGAGCCGACTGTGCAATCCGACAGTGATGTGAGCACCACTGTCGCCACGCTGAGTACCAGCGTCTTGTCGTCGAGCTTACTCGACGACATTAGAAGGGCATGCGCACAAGATAATGATCTTGTACGCCTGATGGAGTATCTCAAGGACCCATCCACGCAAGCTAAGAAGCGCTTGCCTGCCATGTATCGATCTTCTCTCGATCGATACACCCAGCGGAACGGCTTACTGTACTATACAGCCGTCAACAACGACACGCCTCGTGTCGTTGTACCGCCACAACATGATCTCAGGTTACGGATCATGTTTGAATGTCACGATGCACCAATAAGTGGGCATCGCGGCCGTGAGAAGACCTACCTCACGGTCAGTCGCGACTTTTACTGGCCACGCCAGTATAAGTTCGTGCGCAAGTACGTGCGTGCTTGCGAGGTGTGTCAACGAGTGAAGCCTAGTCCTTCACCCCGTGCACCATTGCAGCCTCTACCTGTTCCGGCAGAGTGCTGGGAGTCCGTATCAATGGACTTCGTCTTTGGGTTTCCCAAAGACGCTCACGGGAATAATGGTATTCTCGTGTTTGTAGACAGGTTCAGCAAGATGGTACATCTTGTTGCTGTACCTGAGTCGATCACAGCAGAGGGCTGTGCTCGAGTGTTTATCGATACAATCTTTCGATTGCACGGTTTACCCCGTGAACTTGTGTCCGATAGGGACCCCCGGTTCACGGCTGAGTTTTGGCGCTCCGTGTTCCAAACACTTGGAACACGGCTCACAATGTCTACTTCTGACCATCCAGAAACTGATGGTCAGACTGAACGCGCCAATCGCGTCCTCGAAGAGATTCTTCGAGGGTACGTCCACTCGTTTACGAGTTGGAGTGAGTTCTTGTCGATGGTCGAATTCGCCATCAACAACTCCGTGCATGCCTCCACGACGCATACACCGTTCTACGTGAATGGCCTTCGCCATCCACGTGTCCCCACCTTAGTAGAAGGTGACTCTAATTCAAGGGGGGAGGAACTCGCTCGAGCGAGAACCAATCTGGCTCTTGCTCATCACGCGACGACGTTATGGTCGACGCGAAAGTAACCGAAGTCGTACCATTCGACTTCGGTGAAGAGGAAGAAAGTAAGAGCGATGACGCTCTTACTGACAACGATGTTGAAGATATCAGCATCGTTCGAGGTATCACAAGTGAGAACAGTAATGTTCTCGCTGAATTAGTAACCGATATCTCTGCAGTGCATTCACAATGCACTGCACCCAAAAGCAACGAGTCAGCTGAGGATTTCCTGCTGACTCGTGAAGCGGTAGTCCGTTTCGTGCAAGATTCCATCGCGGAAGCGGTGGATACACAAAAACGTAACGCAGACAATAATGGAAGGGCAAATGCTCAAACATTTATTGAAGGTGATTTAGTTTTACTGTTAACAGTTAACCTACCTAAACATGTAGTGACTAACGTGGGCAGCAATAAATTGTTGCCCAAGTACATCGGCCCGTTTCGTGTATTGCGCCGCCTAGGCAACGCATACACGATCGAGTTGCCACGCAGGATGCGTACGCATCCTACGTTTTACGTGGGACGTCTTTGTCCGTACATTCAACACGCGGCTTCTTCGAACGACGAAGATAGCCATTACTCTCAAGAATCCCCTTCAGATTCTTGTTGTCACGAACCAGATTCGATACCTGGTCGTGTAGAGATGAGATCTTCCCATGATATTGGACGATCTCCTGACGAGCTGTCGCCAGCTCGTTACTTAGAGAATGAAGCCGCCGTTCATTCTCCAATAGTGCGACAGCATTGTTTGCCCGAGACTTCTCATGGTCAAACCCAAGCTGTCGCACAATGTCCTCTAAGCGGCGACGCTTATCCCGTTCGTGATCAACATCACAACGGAGCTCACGAGTTACACGGGCAAACCCGTCTAACTCAGCAGCCAAGTCCAAAGAAAGAATCGGACAGGGTTTTCCCTCCACCACCGCATCCGCTGGTGGACTCCCATGGTGGGAAGCGCTTCCTCGTGGAACGCTTACTAAAGCACCGCGAGGTGAAGGGACGTCGGACGAGTTATCTTGTCCGGTGGCGTGGCTATTCGCCTTCGGCGGATAGCTGGGAACCTCGGGCCCAACTGATGGCCGACGTTCCCGGCCTTGTCGAACAGTACGACAAGGGGCACCCGATGGTGAAGGGCCATCGGAAAACGAGCGCCCAGCGCGCTCGTAAAGGGATTGCAAAGTAGCAATCCCTTCACGCATTTCAGAAGAGATGCGAGCCCTCCACCAGGGCTCAGTAAGGAGGTACGCCTCCTTAGGCGCTCTTGACGAGGTGCTCAGGCACCCCGGGCATGGGTCGCCCCAAGAGAGGCATAACAGGCCTGCCTCTCTAAATAACCGGTGCAAACGATAGCATGCACAGGACGTACTTCGTTTCTCAAACTTATTGCGGCTAGCATAAAGTCTTTGAAACCAAGCCTCTTTCCCAACGTTTAAAACGTTGGTGATAAACGCGTTCCAAGATTGGAGGAACGCGTCGGCCTCACGCTTCTTGTGTGGGCCATACCATCGATGTTCAAGGGACACATCGATGTAATAATCGTTCTCAGTGCGAAAGTTCTTCGCACTGGCGTCAAGGCCATGAAGCTTTGACACATCAAACAACGGTATGGGTAACCGTTCGCTGGTCTTTCCAGACCAACGATCAAGCAGATGCTTAGGTAGCATCCATGGCTTGCGATCAGGAGCAAGACGCAATACGTTGCGATCTAAAGCCTCCTGCGTGGTGTCAACAGAAGTACCGACACCACGAGCATTAGTGTCAACAGAAGTACAGACACTATGATTATTGATGTCAGTAGAAGCCCTGACATCACCCTTACGGTCCCCATATCCTTCGACTCGTTTGGCGAGTCGTCTGATTCATCAGATGACCCGAACATTTCACGGTACATTGACTCACTCAATGTACCACGATCCCTCTTCGTAGCATTAGACGACGAGGTATCACCCCGGGGAGAGCCCGGGAGTGGAATAGGTGACTTTGAGCCGGATGCGTCATCCGACTCACCAGAGTAGTCAACGACTAACTCTGGGTCAACATCTTTACGTGGCGAAGCGCTACGTGAACCTGCAACAGGCGTGCAGGCTGATGTTGACTTCCAGCATACACATTAGTGTCTGCTGGCTGAGGCTGTGAAGCCTAAGTAGCGGCTGCACACAGTAGCGGCTGCACACAGGCGAACACATTCACTTTTTAAGCGAAAAAAACATAACAAAAGAACAGAGTTATATTTACGAGTAAATTGAGAGCGCTTTCTCAGTGTAAGGCGGTAATGCAAACTCTGACACCGTTGCAGTCAGAGCCAAGGGCTGGCTTTACCCTCAAGACGTCTAACAGCTCGCATCATACGGCTTAGATTATGATTATTGGTCCATTCTCTATACACGGATATCACGTCGATGCCACGAACGCAGTTTCAGCGGGCGAGGCTGCATACGAGCACGCTGGTGCGATGGTCGCGCTAAACGAGGCGAAGCAGCTAGATCTAATTACTGAGAAGACCCAAATGAGCTTCAAGTTTGATGTGAATGGTGACGCGGTGCTGGACAGCAAAAAAGCTAGTTTGTCAATCACGAAAGAGACACGCCACATTGCACAGCGAAGGCAGTAAGTGTTTGCGGTGTGAATTAAATGTGAACCACATTACGATATGGCGTTGCGCACCATCGCAGTCGGCGAGGAACTGGATGTAGACTACGGCTACAAGCGTAGTGTTGCTCCGGACGGGAGTCGGCGACAAACGGCGTCGAAGTGTACGATGGAGTCGCAGCAAGCGGCGTCTGCAGCTATGGGACGAGTCGACAAAATGAGCATTCAGAATAGCAGGCTGGAAAAAGACGAGAAGTGAACAAACAGTTGGCAGGCTAGCTGTCACCTCACGCATGCGATGAGTGCTCAGTCTGAAAGTACCAAGATCCTAGCAAGTAAGCTTAGGCGTTATGATCCGTTACAATTTGGTGGGCAATGTTGCACAATGATTGCGTGAACAGCTTCGAAGGCAGATCAGGCAAAACCGATGCGCCACGCATGAACCACAACAAATATGTCATCAAGGGGTTTAATGCCTTCTTATTACTTTGATGATGCTTACTCGCTACTTAGTATGACTGTTGCTTGCTGTTTTCATGTAAACATCACATGTCCATAGTGCAGAGCCAGTTACAGCCAGAAGCTGACTACAACCTTACACTTAGCAACATACGACTCCGACTAGAATGATTGGTCCATCTCCTATACATATACATATCACGTCGATGCCACAGACGCAGTTTCAGCGGGCGAGCGAGGTGGCATATGAGCACGCTGGTGCGAAGATCGCGCTAGACGAGACGAATCGACGAGGTAGATTAAAGTCAAGACCGAATGAGCTGCTCTTTTGATCTGAATGAGGACGCGGTGCTGGGTGCGCTTCGCTACAGTAACAAAAACAAGTTTGTCAATCACGGAAGAAACACGCCGAATTGCACAGCGATGGCAGTGAGCATTTGCGGCGTGCACCACATCACGGTATGGGCTTTGCACACAGTTTCGACAACGGCTACATGTGGAGTTTTGGTCCGGCTGGAGTTAGTGACAAGCGGAGGTGTTGGTCTGGATGGGAGTCAGCGACAGCGACGTCTTAGGAAACTAGATAAGGCACGCGTGCTGACGCGTACTTATCGGTCTCCTACGCTGGATTCTACAGTCTGTCTGTGATATTGCAAATTAATTCCATGATCTTTTGCTGTGTTGTAGTTAGTAAATATCAGACTATAAGATCATTTTTAAGTTATTAAATGACATGCAATCGAAAGATTTGTCTCATGGGTGGGTACAATCCTTCGTTTTGGTGTGACACACCATACACACCACCTTTAAAATGTCGACAAAGAGGTGCACGTATCGCTGGGAAGAGGACGAAGTCTCGGGACCGCTGCTGCGTAAATTACTGATTGCAGATGATTATTCTACATGGGAAACGCGTGCATTTCTTCGGCCAATTTTTAAGTGGATGAAGGTTGGTCTGCACAAGGACGGGAGTCGCGAGGACGAAGCCATAGAGCGAGCATTCGATTATGTGGAGTGGCTGGTGCAGCTCGCCACACAAGGCGATGAGACTAGGAACATTCCCAAGTTGCCAACACTTCAGCCAAGTTACGCTCTCAATACAATTGTCACGGCCAGTCAGCGTGCTGGCAGTGTGAGAGAGGCTCAGCGAGCATTCGATTTGCTGGAAATGCACGGCTACCCGCCCGATGTATTCACGTATACAGCTTTGATTGACGTCATGGCAAGGAACGGAGACATGCTGGGTGCTATTAAAGTAAAACAAATTGGGCAAAGACAGGTGGTAGTAGATTTATTAGGAGACTCATGTGTGATTTTGGTGTGTTTTTTTATCGTAGAAATACGAAGAAATGCGGCTATCGACGTCTAAACCGAACATTGTAACGTACACGACATTGATTCGTGCGGTGGGAATGAATGATAGTGTCGAGACGGAGCAGTGTCTGGTGTTTCTAGCTCATGCACAAGAAGATGGCGCTTTTGATGAGGCACTACTCCTGGAGGCTTTGGAAACTTGTGCGAGGAGGAAAGATCGAGCGGTAGCAACTCGAGTACTGAATGAGATTGCAGCACACTCACCGAAGCTCCGTGTGAATGACCGCTTCTTCTACACACTGGGCCAGGTGGCTGGGTTGTTGGATAATGATGGCTTGGAACCTGTACTTACTGAGTGGGTAGAGAAAGACATGCTGAGCTCAGAAGAGCGCAGTAAAATTGTAAAGCTGCAACAGCAGGAAGGGACATCGACTGCCGCTGGCGGATTGAAAGTGCTTGGCTGTCTGGGACATCAAACATCCCAATCAGTTAGAAAAGCGGTGGTCCACCATGATATCAATCGACTGATTTCGCGCATTCAAAGTGGATCCATTGTGACTGTGTAGGCAATGTTCCTTTTGCGTGTACGTTAGTAGTAGAATGTTGTTGCTGACTTCTGCCATTATGTTGCGTTCTTCACAGAAACGACTTTGAGACGCTTATTCATCAATGCAGAAAGCGGAAGTGGAAGGAAGATGTATCGGTCATTGTCGATGCTATGCGTGATCTCTCCACGAAGGGTTGGCAGACTATCAGCGACGATGAGGGCAATGACGATGGTAAACTCATTCCCCCTCAACCTCAACTTGAGCCTACTTCCAAGACGTACGTTGCCATTGTCGATGCGTACATGTGCTGTGGTGATGAGCCTCTTGGTTGGCAAGTTGTCCAGGAAATTGAGGACCTACCGACCATTACGCGAGAACTCCCGATGTACCGCAAATTTGTCCGCGGCGCATACTTGCTGACAAACTGTAACCATATCGCCGAGCTGATTGCGTTAGCGCGTGAAGACAAGATTGTGTTCACTCAACGGATGGGCGTCGAAGTAGCGCGTATGTATGGATACCGCCATGAAGAAGGCTTTAACATTCTGGCGTACGAACTACCTGTTGGGGAGTGTGGGGCGAAGACGAAAAGGCAAGGATTTCTTGAGGAATTGATGAAGTCTTGCGCCTATAAGAACAACTCCGTTGGGACAGAAGAAACGCTGCAGGCTATGCTAAAGCATGGATTTCAGCGTTCTGCTGCCACCGAAATTGCGCTTTTCATCTGCTGTATCCAACGTGACACGGTATCAGAGGCTCAAGTGATGTTGCAGCATTTCCAAGAAACTTCATTAATGATGCCAGTACCAGTGTACGACTCACTGCTTCGCGAGTTCTACTTCAAATACACCCGTCGCGGGGATGTATTTGATGAATCGTCACGCAAAGTTGCGATGAAAACTCTGTATGCACGCCGCGCAATTTTTGAGCTTGTTTTTAAAGACCGCGAGACTTTCGAAGCTGAACAAAACGCCACGCTGATCAATGGACCTGACCAAGACTCGGCGTGCTTCAGATATTGGTGTTCAAAAGCGGGTTTGCCGTGTTCTCCGTTGATGTTTTCTCAGCATGCGGTACAGGTCCTCACTACTAGTCGAGACAAAGACTCGAAAAACGCAGCTGAGCAATCCGTTCGAGACGCGCTCATGATCACTCCAGACCCTTGTCTTTTTCTATTGCAGTCAGTTGTTGCACTACGCTTTCTGGATTTGACTTTTCGAACGCTAGGGAAGCTTGCAAAGCAGTTGCTTGCTGTGGTAACAGACGAGCTACAGATGGAGAAACGGCACGCAGAGTATTGTGTCAGCCAATTGCCGGTGCTGTCTGTCCATATTGTGAAGGAATTGGATGACGTCGTATTTCTGCACCTGACGCATCGAGCTGACTTACTAGCATTCTGCCAGGATGCTCTCGAAACTAATAACATCGATAAGACAATGGGCTTCTTGATGCGTCGGCCGGAATTGTATGACGCGGAGACGGCGTTATACCTTGGACCTAAATTTGCCGAGATATTTGTATATGGCAGAGTGAGCAATGTGCTGATGTTTTTCAAGTCAGACACGGAGGATACGTTGAAAATGCGTCGGCAGTTTGTACGAGACGTGATTGAGTTGGAAAGCGCGACTATGGAGGAGAATGGGGAGGACGGTGGATCATCTTCCTTCAGTTGTACGCACAAGGCTATCAGGGAGTTTAAGCTCGAGCATGACGCCGAATTCAGGCCATACCTGATGCAGGCACGCGCAGCAATGCCAAAACCCGTGTACGCAGATGCGTCTGCAACTCCTGTCGATGACACGTCGTATTTAAAGATCCCACTTGCTCAAGAGCACATTGTGGTGGTTGACAGCGATGAGACATTGTTATTCGCCACAGATCTGCTTATGCGAGACAGCGTGACTCGTTTGGGACTTGACGTCGAGTGGCGTCCCGATAGCCGAGCTACTGTGCCATCAAAATGCTCAATCTTGCAAGTCGCTTGCGACGACTACGTGTTTATTTTTGATTTTGTGGCAATGGCCCTCGGTGACTTGGAGGAGCTCTTTGAGCACTTGTTTGCCTCGGCAACAATTGCTAAACTTGGCTTTGCCATTGACGGTGACATCAAACGTTTACGTTGGTCATTCCCAGAAGTGACGTGCTTTGACACGTTTGTTAACGTGGTGGACTTTTCGTACGAAACACTTGAGACGACGACACATTTGGTCGATGGCTCGATCGTTTTGTTTCACGAAACCGATGATGATTGCGTGTCTAAAAAGCTTTTACGCCGCCATCGTCGACGAAAGGGGCTTAGTACCTACATCAAACAGGCACTGGGATATCCGCTATCAAAGTTGCAGCAACAAAGTGACTGGGAACGCCGTCCATTGACATTGCAACAGGTGACATATGCTGCTTTGGACGCCTTTTGTCTACTACTGCTACAAGATGCTGTCAGTAATAAGTGAGAGAATAAAGCCTCATTTTATCTAAAACAAGGTCAAGTAACTTTAATTCGGAGACCTGAGCTTGGTAAAAACTAACGTACGCCAATCAAAGATCGACCTTCGACCAGTTCACCATGTCGACACCTGCCCAAGTGCTTCAAGACGTGCAGTTTAAAGAACGTCTTGCTGACGTGGAGGCGCGTCTGCCAATTACACTGGCATTGGCTCACGAAGGATCGCTGGCGAAACGCAATCAGATCAAGCGCAAACTCTATTACGATAGCGAGCTTATCCGCATTGAATTGGAGGAGCGTATGAATGCACTGGGTATTGAGAGCCAATGGGATACGGCGTCTGAAATGAAGGACGCAAATACAAAGCTTGATGCTGTACGCAAACAGCTCAAGCTGGACGTGCTGCCAAGTAGCTCGTCGCCCATTGAGAAGCTATACATGGTCGTACGGATGCTCACAATGGCGTTGGTGCTTGTGGGCTGGATAAGCTGTGTGACAGTGCTTATTCCACTGAAATTACTCACTCCAATGCTCCAGAAAATGGGTGTCAAGAGGAATTATCTTCCAATGGATATTGTGTCCTGGGGCACAGCGGCAATGGTGTGTGTCACGGCCTGTACGGATGTCAAGGCGGAAGGAGTGGAAAATTTGTTGAATTTAAAAGACTCAGTCGTCTGCATGTTTAGGTGAGAGAAAGAAGGTGGGAAGTGCTTTAATGTGATGGGAGAAAACTGACTGCTTGGATACTTTCTGCTACTTTTTACAGCCATTCGTCCAATTTGGATGGGTTCATTGTAAACGGATCATCACCTACTGCATTCAAGTTTGCAGTCAAGAAGAGTCTCTTTTTGATACCTTTTCTAGGTTGGTCATCCCGCTGGGGCTTTGACTTTGTGGCCATTGATCGTTCCCATCGGTACGTTGTTTTTGCGTCGCAATTATTTGACAATTGGTTACAGCTAAGAATTGTCTTGTGCGTTGTTGATCATAGCAAATCAGCACTAAAGAGTTTAAAAGAGCTGGCGGTGTCGGTGAACGAACGTGGCAATTCTGTCTGTATCTCCCCTGAAGGCACACGCTCGAAGGACGGCTTGGTCGGTAAAGCATGGGTTTGAGGTGCATCATGTTTGGCTGGGCTTTTTAACATGCTGGATGTACTCTACGTATTTGCAGCTACAAGATTTTAAGAAGGGACCGTTCTACCTTCGCGAGGAAACGAAGAAGAACGTGGTGCCGTCGATCGTGTTCGGCGCGTACGAGCTGTGGCCACCTGGACGTCTGTTCAGCATCCCCGGACACGTATGCTGTCTTTCACTTGAGCTAAGGATCCGATTGTTCTATGTTTGTGACGTTCGTTAATGCATTGTGCAGACGTTGGTGCGCTACTTGCCGGAGTACAAGCCAGATCCGAATTTGAACCGAAACCAGAACCGTCTGGCACTTCGTCGCATCTATCTCAAGGCCTTCACGGAGGATGTGCCGGACTACATTGGCACTCGCGTGGGCACCACTTTTATCCTGAAGAACATGTTCTATCACTACCTCGCGTGGTCGATCACGTTCAAAGTGACGTCGTGGGCGTTCACAGCCGTTGACCTTGTCTGTTACTATTTGGACATCACGTACGGCACGTTCATGCTCTTTTCACTGGTAACGATGGTCGCAGGTGAAGCCCTCATGTTCTTCACCTGCTAAGCCATTTCTGTACACTGTCATGCGCTACTCAGCAGCACGACGAAAGCCCTCGAGCTCTAATGCAGTCGTCGTGCCTCACCCACTCGACATTAGTGCCCCCTTCCCGTCGTTCCACAGATGTATACACTTTCTTAATACATTTTTGGTAGCTAGGCAGCTAGACTCTGTGCTTAGCCTACTTAGCAACTGGTCTCTTTAGCTTCTTGTTCTTGGCTTCCACCAACTTCCGTCCACGCTCTTTCAGCGTCGCGTATAGTGGCTCAGCAGGTGACTGAACGGACGAATAGGAGGCCAGACGATGACGATCTACCTTAAGCTGCTCTTCAGTAGAAATTGTGGGTATCAAGGACCCCGTATGCTCTTCAGAACGTTCCGCTGTCATCTCCAGTCGGTCACGTTTGCGCTTCCGGACTCTAGCGTTACGGAATCGCACGGGCGCTGTGCGAGGCTCTCCCCAACCCATAAGAATGTTTCCCTCAAGCAGTGTATCACGCAGAAGCTTGTCCTCGTACTCGTACAGTTTGCTGCCTTGCTCCAGCCAGTGTCCTTCCTCCTCCAGCGTCTTCTCCCGTAGCACTCGTAGCTTGGCATCCAGGTCCTTGGTCGAGATTGTCGTCATTTGGTAATGGGATTTACAGGAATGTATACAAGTGTATACATCGCATGCATAATAAAAAAAGGTTCCGATACATGATACAATAAGTATACTTATATATCGTGGAAGAGATTCCATACAAACAGGCAGGAGTATTGTGAAAAAGCACATCATGCACAAGATCAGAGGCTAGCTTTCATTCCATTTACGTGACTCTATGTACCTTGGTTGCCTTTGTTAGAAGCTTTCCTACTGACTCAACACACGGAGTTGAAAGTAGTGATCGTCATGTTCATAGTCAGCTACAAGCCAACTAGGCCAACGCCTGGTCAATAAGAAGCTCGCCATCGTCGCTACTGCCATCATCGTCATCATCATCGTCGTCTATACCTCATCATCGTCACTAGAATCATCGTTGGTATCATCATACGACCGGTGTTCGATCTCGGGGCTCACAATTACAATACCTTCATCGACATTCTTACTTTCCACGGGCTCCACGGCAGTGCTAGGACTTGACACAGCCTTGAGGATCGCAGGATTCTTTGACCCTTCCTTAGCAGCCTCTTGCTGTGTCATCAGCGCAAACGGAGGGCGACGCAGACACCGACGTTTGTTAAACCACCGCCGCAGCTGTGTCATGTTCACATCTATCCTTTGTTTCTTCACGTCTCGTAACGGTGGGGTATTCAACTGTACCAAGTAGTCCTCCATTTCTTCTTGCGATGGTTTGTACTTCTGTTGGAACCATGCTTCGAGCGCTGTCAACTGATCCATAGAGAATTTCATGGGACGCAAAACGCGACCCTTTTTCTCCTTCGCGCGAGGATCAACAGGAAGCTTCGCTTTCTTTTTCAATGGCTCTTCCGAGAGCAAAAGGGAAGAAGCGTCATCAAACACTGCACTGCTACTTTCCAAACCTTCCATCGGCGAGTGTTCATATTTCAGTTTCGTTCGTCCTCTCGCACTTGACGCTGTACTCAGTGCCGGACTTGCTGGTGTAGACAACGCAGCATCGTCATCGGCGTCACGTTCCGCCACAGCGCGGCGATTCATACCCAGGCTTTCCAATAGTGCAATCGTAGCCTTGCGAAGCAGTGTTGGCTTCGTATATTCTTTCAAAATTTGCTTCAAATCCGCCACGATACCCGACTGAATACGCACATCGGGATCAACCTTCATAGCACGCAACAAATCGACCACTTGCTGTAATCCGTTGGTGACCACTGTCGTCTTGGGCTGTTCCATTAAGCTGCGCAATCGATTTTGCAGTGCCATCACTTCCAAAACGGTGGCATGCTTAACCATCTGAATATCATCCAAGTCCGAGTTCTGCGTGCGCTGTCGCTTGCCACGACCATTAGCATTGCTTCCGTATTGTTCTGCTGTGGTCGGAACCGAATGCGATGCGGCGATGTAAGACCGGACATTATTTGGTCTCGTAAAAGCGTTCACAGCTGCATCATACAGATAACTTTGAGCGCGTACGCGGTCGACCTCCTTGACTAGGTCATTCGGGTCGACGGAGGCACGCAAGTGAGCAATCCTCTGTTCCAGACGCAAGTCGATCTCCTCCTCTGCAGCTTGGGCATCATGACCCGCTTCCACCGCTAGCTTTACATACCGCATCCGCTCCCGGAAGCGACGTCGTTTGAACCAGTCGCGCACATGTGCCAGCGTCAGTCCGCCCACCTGGAATGGATTGGCATACGGTCGATAATTCAGAATTGTGCGCATGAGCGTCAGTTCATCCAACAACGGACGTGGATACGAGTAGTACCATTCCTGCAATTTCTGGACCTGTATCGGCAAACACAGTCTGCCAAAAGCCGAGGATGAGCGACCTCGCTCCTGTGCAATAGCCGTAGCTGTAGCTGCTGCAGCACTGGCCTGCACTGCCGCTTCCAGTGCTTGGAACGTGCCACTTTGCAGCGACACTTTAGACACCAAATTAGCTTCTCCCTGCATACTCGTAGCCTGAATGAGCTCTGCCATCTCCTTTAATCTCATCATTGTCGTTTCCATCTTGGCCAGTACACTGTCCGTATGATCTTCTGTAGTTTCATCGACCATCTGTTTCTTCTTATTAGATACGTCATCATTCTTTGCAGTAACAGTGAGACGTTCGTGTGGATTACGTAACGGCAGCATGGCCATCGCTTGGCCGCACGCACAGCCGCCACTTTGTCCGCGACGCTGGCCCGAGCGTAGACGAGACTCGGCACGAGCTTCCACCAAGCTTTTGATCTCCAATATAAGTCCATCACAGCCAATGAGCAGCTGCGATGTCTTGGCTGTAATGCTCTTATTATACGTCTTACCAGCGTCCAAAGACTCACGCACGAGCTTCGCTACTAGTTCCACAGCCGGATTTAGATCCACGTCTTGCCAGGCTGCATACTCAAGCTGCTCATCTTCAGAGTTTTCATTGTCACTTATACCTACTTCATCTGTCTCTGGTGGCTGCGGTTCCTTGCAGATAAAGTCCATCTTCATGGCGCTGCTCATTTGGCCTTCCTACTCTAAGGGGGGACGATGAAATGGTATCATTGTGCCTATTTTGACCAATTTTTGGTATCCATATACCTATTATTTGTTGATCAATTTGGTAACAATGTATCCATTATGTAAAGAGAGCCATTGATGGAGCAGGTTTGTGCACTGGAAGGCCACAATGAGCGTGTGTGGCACGTTTCGTGGCGCTTTGACAGCAAGTTATTGGCATCTTGTAGTGGAGATCGTACCATTCGTCTCTGGGCAGCTAATAGTAGCGGCGTCTGGGAGTGCGTGGGTATCTTGGAGGACGCACAGGGTCGGACTATTCGAGCCTGCGAGTGGTGCGTAATTTGTTTTCGTTCTAGAGCTGCTTTGCATCAGTGTCAATAGTAAAGCATTTACATGATGTATGTATAGGTCACCAGATGGTCGCTACTTAGCGTCCGTGAGCTTTGATGCCACGGCAGTTATATGGGAGAAGCAAGGCAGTTCATACGAAGTCATTGCGAGTCTGGAGGGCCATGAGAGCGAGGTGAAGAGCGTGGCCTGGAGTCCGTCAGGAGATTATTTGGCAACCTGCAGTCGTGACAAGAGTGTCTGGATCTGGGAAGCTGATGCTGACACGGACTTTGAGTGTATCTCGGTGCTCCACGGTCATACGCAAGACGTCAAGTGCGTGGCTTGGCATCCAACCGAGAACCTCCTCGTGTCGACAAGCTACGATGACACTATCCGTATATGGGCGGAGAACGAAGACGACTGGTACTGCAAAGAGACGCTGACAGGCCACACGGCGACGGTGTGGGGAGTTGCATTGAATTCACAGGGCACTGAGATGGTGTCGGTATCGGATGACAAAGACATGAAAGTGTGGCAGTATGACGCCAACAGTAAGGACGTGAATGAGGACGGAAGGTGTGATGTTATCAATTTGTCTTGTTTGACAAAGTTTGCACTCGTGACTAACAAGATGTTTGATCTGGCAGCTTGAAGCAATGGAAAGAGACGTCGACCCTTTCCGACTTTCACGAACGCACCATCTTCAGTGTAGACTGGTCCAAGCATGAGAATGTTGTCGTTACAGGTGCTGGTGACAATGCCATCCGAGTGTTTCGCGGCCAGTCGACAGGAACATCATCCTCTTTCGACCTAGTAGTTGACCAGAAACAGGCACATGCGAGCGACATTAACTGCGTACGATGGAGTCCACAACTTTTGGAAGAAAATGGTACAAAGACGTTGTTGCTCGCTTCTGCTGGTGACGATGCTCTCGTACGCATCTGGAAGTTCCACTTGCCTTAAGTTTTCAATGTAGCCATGTCGAGGACATTTCTGAAGTAACTGTTAAGTTTCACTTGTTCTTGGATCGACACAAAATGGCAGCGTCAAAGGCCGCAGCGACGGAACTCGAGGAGCTTCAGGGCGAGCCACGCTGGTCTAGTATCCGTTATCCACCTCATCCTTGTCCTGCCAAGTGGTCACACATCACAGACGAGAAGTTAATGCTGTTGGTGACGCAGTCGACGGCTAGTGGGGAGAGGTTTCCAGTCGGTGTCAATTGTGCGTAAACCATGGCAATTTATTGCTCCTTTTGATTGAGATTAGCCATACTCTTCGTCGATGAATTGACGAAGAGTATGGCGGTTGTAATGCACTGGTTTTGGTTAAAATTGAACTTGTATTGACAGGGCTAGAGGTCTCTCGAGTAGTGCGCCGCTCTCCCGTGGATTGTGTAAAGCGCTATGCGTATTTACATGATGCTTGTGAGCAATACGATGTACTAGAAGAAGATCAACAAGTGGAAGAGGAAGAGAAGGAAAATATCAAGGTGCTGGAAGAAGAGCTGGAAGAGTTCCTTTTGGATAGTGGGGACGAAGGTCTCGACGAGCAGTCACTCAGCAACTTTGCGACGCCTGTGACTTCACCGAAACTGCAGCCACTGGACACATTCGGAGCGTTTGTGACAAGTAGACCGACTTCTCCTGAATCACCGCCACCATTTGCTGTTGCTCGCCCTGCGGCAAAGAAGCCAGGAACTACTGGCTTAGAAGGAAGCCCATTCAGATGGGAGAGTCTGGTGAATGACCCGAAGTACATCGCACCAGTGCTCGCTTCTCGACCAAGTTTGCACCATAAACAGAGCTTGCAAGGTCGCATTAGAGTGGAAGATGATGAATCAAAAGAGCTGTTTGTGGTGTCACCGCCGAGGCTATCGTCCCAAGGATCCATATCGCCTTCTGAGTCGGAGGCACGTTACTTTGGTTGAGAGTATCGCGTTAACGCTTACTGCTAGTTATTCTACTGACATGTTTGTTTTTAGGGCCAACATGGGATGGAAACGATAGCTGACCGGAATAATATTGCGTCGGTTCTCACGCACGCCTTCAAAGGACTAAAATTGGGGGCCATGTCACCTCCGTTGGGTTCTCCTCTCATCGGTTCTCCTCGTCTAAGTCGAAAAATCTCCAACTCAGGTAGTGATGGTTCGGCATGTTTGCTGCGAGGAAAAAATACTTTCTAATTGTTTTTTTTTCATTTCTTGACCCTCACAGAGTATCCATTCTTGAAGGAGGAAGACTTGTCTGTTTGCCAATCCGCGGCGAGTCATGCGAGCAGTAGCATAGGCGAGACTGGAGGAGTAGAAGCTAGAACCGAGCCAGCACTATTTGTAAACGATGCCTACAGAGTTGGCAATGATGCATCGTCCGGAGACCTGCAGCGTCAGATGAACACACATCTGATGCGCATGTCCGCCATGTCTTCGTTCCACGGTGACAACCCGTTCTCGGGCTCAATCACCCAGTCAGCGCTGGAAGACGCCTTTTTAGATATGGCAGGTTCACGTTTAGACGCTTCCAATGTGCTCCGGAGCAGTCGTATGTCAGCAAGTCCTGGAACACAGTCACAGCATCGTCTTAATCGGATTCCAATTGATGGTCAAGGCGCACAAGGCGCTACCTGAAGTATCTATCTATGTGTATGAGTAAAAGACTTTATTTTTAATAAGGAGAAAAAGAACGTCGATGATAATAAGCACCTTAAAACCACAATGAACAGCCTTGCACTACCTCCGCAGCTTGCCTATGCTTCCCGACCACAAGCAAGAGCCGCAATGCATACCCATGCACAGCAGGAAAGTTAGATTTTTGGTACTTAATACATAAAGAGGAAAAAAGCACGGCGATGCCTAAGTTTTTATTCTTGAACTGCTCCCAATCAATTCCCAGTCATGCATTCAGGTGTAACACTTTACCAGCTTATGTTGTCCAGCTGTAGCCACTTCCGAAATGTTATAACGCGATATTTATTCCACAGCAGAGAGACGTTATCTTACGCATCCTACCTGCATCACCAATGTCGCAGAAGATCTACCGAGTTTGTAGGATGCAATAATCAGGCAATGATATGTAACTCCGTACGCCTAGTGAATTTGACACGCCATCTATTTGTACCGTTTCAAACCCTGAATAGTTAAAGATCAAAATAGAAGTGCAATTCCCTGCCAATGATCCATACGACAATGTAACAAAAGCACAACCTGCGAAATGCCTTGCAATACATGTTGTCTTCCTATGCAGCACTTATAGGCAAAAACAAGAAATCCACTCCAGGGCAGGCAACCAATCACTTAGCCGCCCTCATCTGTTACGAGGAGATCAACGCCTTGGTGTCGTGCGTGGTCTGCGGCAGCACGTCGTGCGTAGCATTGTGTTTCTTAGCGGCCTCTCCCTCTTTAAACTTGGCGTAGCCGTACAGAATACCACCAATCATGCCGAACGCGACATAGATGGCGGTGTCAGACTTGAGTGGCTCCCCTAGTAGCAATACGCCGATAAACGTAGTGGGGATCTTGTTAAGACCACCCACAGTCGCGTACGTGGTAGCAGATGTGGCGGAGACACACCAAAAAGAAGCAAGATTGAGTCCGACCCCGAGCACGCCACTGAGAAAAAGCAGCACGTTAAAGTTCATATTGGCGAGCAGCGGGTTGTTCCAGACTGTAAAAGCTTCGCCATTAAGCACGAGCGGCGGCACCAGTAGCGGCAGTGAGATAAGGTTGTTGTAAAAGGCCATGCCAAACTTGGAGATCTTCAGTGAGGAGCGCGACGTCGCATTACGCATGTACAAGACATAACCGGCAGTAGCAGCGCAATTAAGAAACATCCAAAAGTAGCCCGAGAGTGATGAGGGCGTGGCCCTGCCGCCCACGTCACTGTACGAAGACATGACGGCACCCATGAGCATGACAACGAGACTCACGAGAACGAGGCCGCCTACACGCTCACCAAAGAAACGCCATTCACCAAAGACGATAATGATATTGGTTACGTTCTTGAAAACTGTAACAATGTGGATCGGAAGTCCCGCTGTGGCCTGCATACCTGTATACAGCATGGCTACGAAAAAGAAAGTGACAGGTGCCCACTTACGTGCAACTTTACTGTCATATGATTCGTACGATACAATCTTTTGCATCTTTGCAAGCTCCAATACTAGCACAGCCACAGCTGCTTGTACAGCTACTACAAAGAACTTTTCATCAAAGCCATAATATTTGTTGCCCAGTAGATAGCGATTGGTAAGTACCATGACATTTGACATGACGCTGTAGACGAGACATGACATGATCGAAAGCACCAAAGAGCCTTCACCGGCGTGGCCCTTTGTTGAGGGCATGGCTGAAAATTACAGTTATAGAGCGACGATGCGGCTGGAGACGCGTATTGCACTGTATAACGAAAACAAAGTACCGTACTTTATCAAAGATCGGAGCAGACCTTGCAAACGGAATGTTTTGGTCATGAATAGCGCTTAAATTCTTACACGGCATCCTGCTAAAAGCGTTTTGTGTAGCCATCCCATATAACGAGATGTCACGGATTTAGCAGGGATGCACCACCGGAGCTCACCACGACGCGTTACAATCGCCATTGGCGGTAATATTCTCCAAGAGCGAGCGAACATGCGAAGAGGAGACTGGACACTGCTGATTGAGCAAAAAATTTGGGTCTAGCAGCAACGCATAATCAAGTAAGTCGTTATTCCGGCATTGTGACTGCTACTTGTGGAGACATGAATGATCATTTGTTTGGATACCATCTATAAAGATTAATTTGCAATACAATCACTTTATAAAAGTAGACACGTTTAGTAGATACTTTAGCTTGTGAGTCAAGCTCAAGTCACTCTTCGCGCAATATATTGGCATATCTAAGCTGCCAGTTTTTCGCTTCGTCGCAAACTTGTCTTCCTTAGCGCGCACTTGTGGTTATTTGATCAATACAACATTGTGAGGCTGCTTGTCAGGAGATGACGATTCTTATTTGCCAACCTTTATTGCTTGGTTGTGTCATATCTAGGACACGGTTCTAAAGAGCAGTCTTGTCGCTGACTTAAATTTTACATCGAAGCCTGACTGACAACATCTTCGCTTCAGCATCCAGGAATCAAAAGAGAGGAGGACAAATGATATACAAGGACTCGCATTGAGCAACAAAGTCTCAGGTACAACGTGTGATCTGCCCAGAGCTTCATCTATACAGATGTCAACCAAACTTTAGCGACGTCAGCTCAGTACAATGGCGCTCATCAACTCATTCTGACTTCCCCGATGGAATTGGTGATGAATGTCGGTATGCTCCACAGTGACACGTGCATGCTGCAATCTTGTTTGAAAAATTCATTTTGGACAAACAATATTGCCATTTAAACTGAGCGCAGCACTTGCAACATGATCGGATGGCCGATGGCAACATATTTACTACTGTCAGACGTGATACAATTGACATCTAATAGTAGAGACCATCATGTTATTATCCTTGTGCAACTGTTCATTATTTGTATCCAATCAAGTCTCATTATTAATCTTCAATTTAACGAATCAGAGACGAGGATGACAGAAATGAGAGTGGGATTGGGGAGATAAAGCCGGGGCTCCTGTCGTTACGTTGTCACATCGTCATTGTCACCTATGCCTGTACTTGCCATTCGTATAGAAAAAAAACAAACCATCTAATCAACTAAGAAATGAGCCACGCTCTTGTCGTCTCACTCTTCGATTTTCTCTCTACTCTTTACGTCCGTAACAATGAATGATGGTATGTGTGTGTGTGTTTGGTTGGTTGGTTTTCTTATTTCTAGTCTCGTTTTCTTATTATTGATACCATCTCAATGCTCAATCGTTACAGATGAACGAAAAGCTTTGGCCGAGGCCCGTGGCCGCGTTGCCAGCCTTCGTGCCATGTTTAACAAGGGCGGGGTGCAAAATTCGGACCCTCCAGCTTGGAAACGTCGATCGGTACTTTTACAACCTATTAAGCTTCCTAAGGGGGACAAGTCTCAAGACGATGTTAGTACCGAGTCGGTCACCAATGATGCACAACGTCACTTGCTAGAAGAAAAGACCAAGATGTCCTACGCAAAGGTTAAAAGCTCCGAGTCGCTCGTGGATGCTGCATTGCAGGAACGCAAACTGCGGGAAGAGCAGGAGCGTCGCACAGTACAGGAAGTTCGTGATGCTATGGCCAAGAAATCGTCCTATGATCTTGAAAGTGATCACGCTTACAACCACTTGGTGAAGCAGAAAGAGCACGAACGGTTGGCGGAACAGAAGGCTAAGGAGTCACTCGCGCAGTACACTAGCAATGGACAGACGTTTGAAGCGGAAAAACGAGAGCAGCAGCGACATCTGGAGGAAACGGAGCGCAAGAAGGAAAAGGATACCAAGGATCTCCACGCTACAACGACATATTCCACCGAGTTCGACCACTCGTATAATCACTACCAGAAACAGCGCAAGACGGCGACGAAAGCGGAGCAGGAAGCGCAAAAGGCGCTTGGAAATTATTCAGGAGGCAAAACATATTTTGAAGAGCAGCTAGATGAGAAGAAACGTCAGCAGCAACTGGATCGGCAGAACGAGCAACAAGCTAAGGAAGCTAAGAGCAACTTCTCATCGCCTAACTTTGATCGCGTTTACATTCACGCAAAGGAAATTGCACAGGTGGAAAAAGAGGCCGAGGAAAAGGCCAAGGCGGCGCTTTCGAAATGCGACCAGCGTGACGTTTCGCATAAATATGTCATGAAGAACGGCATGATGGTGCTTAAACGCGCTGAGAGTGCTGAAACTCCGAAAGGTAGGTTAATTGATCTTGTTGATGGTATCAGATTTGCGCGTATATAACTATTGAGCGTTTAATGTAATTAGCCAAGCGCTACCCGTTTACAGACCCTACTGCACGAATCAAGAAACCGAGTCCTCAGTCTATGAAAGCACTTGCTAGATTCCAAGCGCAACTTGGTGCGTCCGCGCTTTTTTCTTTTTCTGCCTTCGATGGTACTAAAATAATGACCGTGATACTTTGTGGCAGCCGAAACTCGTACACGAGAAGAGCAGAAAGCAGAACAGAAAGAATTTGATGAAGCTGCACGCAAGGTGTCGTGGGAGTCCACGCGCAAAATGTCTATGGACTCGGTTGGATCCATGGGGTCTGTGCGAAATCAGTCTCTTGGTGGTGCGTACGCATTACAGCATGTTGTCATCATGTATTAGGTATGAACCTGCGAATGTCTGATGCGTGTGTACTGTAGAAATCGACATTGAACAGGTCAACGCAATTGTCGATAAGACCGAGCTCGATGTTCGCTCCGCGGCTCAGAAGTTTGCAGAGATGGATCGTAAAGCTGGTGCGAACTACTTGTGATTCTCTCTGTTGGAGCTTCTCTATCCGTTTACTGATGCCGTTATGTTGGTTACAGCTGAATTGGCTAAACAGAATAAGAAGCCTTTGACATTCAATGGTATATCCTACGGACATAGTGGACAAGTCTTTCGTACAAAAGAGCAAGAACGGAAGGAGGCCAGACACAAGCATGAAATGGCTACACGAATTCAGTCTTGTGTGCGTGGAGTGATTGCTCGCAACGCATATATCAATAAACTCAGTGCTGCCGGGAAAATTGCAATTCGAATCCAGACTGAGTATCGTCGGCGCCAAGCCCAGAAGCAGGTTGAAGACCTCCGTCAGCGACTGCAGCGCGAACAGTCATGCGCAGTGGTTATTCAAAAGATTGTACGTGGTCGAGTCCAATGGAATCGCTATCAGACCGAAGTTGCAGTCCGAAAAACTGCTGTCATTTTGCTGCAGTCCCTCGTTCGTTCCAGACAAACTCAGGCTGCTTACACTAAGCAAACGAAGGCAGTCCATGATATTCAAGAGTTTGCGGCTCGAATATTGGCAGGCCGACACGCCAGGAAAAAGGTTGCATGGCTTCGGAAAGAGCGCGATGCAGCCACAGTAATTCAGTCCATGTTTAGAATGCGAGGAGCAATTTCTCATGCTCAAACACGACTTGACGCTGTTATTCGCGTTCAGTGTGCTTGGCGCCAGGTTGAAGCACGAAGTGAAGTTTTACGCATAAAACACGAGGCGGAGGTTGCCCGTCAAGCAGAGATCGAGAGCAACATGGCGACGAAGATCCAGAGCCACTGGCGTGGTATGGCTGCTCGATCTGAGGTGTCTACGCTGCGTGCTATGGCTGCTGAAGTTGCTGCTGCCAAGGCTGCCGCAGCTGAAGAGGAAGCCGCCAAGGTGGCCGCCAAGATGGCCGCCGAGGAGGCTGCCCGTCAAGCAGAGATCGAGAGCAACATGGCGACGAAGATCCAGAGCCACTGGCGTGGTATGGCTGCTCGATCTGAGGTGTCTACGCTGCGTGCTATGGCTGCTGAAGTTGCTGCTGCCAAGGCTGCCGCAGCTGAAGAGGAAGCCGCCAAGGTGGCCGCCAAGATGGCCGCCGAGGAGGCTGCCCGTCAAGCAGAGATCGAGAGTAACATGGCGACGAAGATCCAGAGCCACTGGCGTGGTATGGCTGCTCGATCTGAGGTGTCTACGCTGCGTGCTATGGCTGCTGAAGTTGCTGCTGCCAAGGCTGCCGCAGCTGAAGAGGAAGCCGCCAAGGTGGCCGCCGAGGAGGCTGCCCGTCAAGCCGAGATCGAGAGCAACATGGCGACGAAGATCCAGAGCCACTGGCGTGGTATGGCTGCTCGATCTGAGGTGTCTACGCTGCGTGCTATGGCTGCTGAAGTTGCTGCTGCCAAGGCTGCCGCAGCTGAAGAGGAAGCCGCCAAGGTGGCCGCCAAGATGGCCGCCGAGGAGGCTGCCCGTCAAGCAGAGATCGAGAGCAACATGGCGACGAAGATCCAGAGCCACTGGCGTGGTATGGCTGCTCGATCTGAGGTGTCTACGCTGCGTGCTATGGCTGCTGAAGTTGCTGCTGCCAAGGCTGCCGCAGCTGAAGAGGAAGCCGCCAAGGTGGCCGCCAAGATGGCCGCCGAGGAGGCTGCCCGTCAAGCAGAGATCGAGAGTAACATGGCGACGAAGATCCAGAGCCACTGGCGTGGTATGGCTGCTCGATCTGAGGTGTCTACGCTGCGTGCTATGGCTGCTGAAGTTGCTGCTGCCAAGGCTGCCGCAGCTGAAGAGGAAGCCGCCAAGATGGCCGCCGAGGAGGCTGCCCGTCAAGCCGAGATCGAGAGCAACATGGCGACGAAGATCCAGAGCCACTGGCGTGGTATGGCTGCTCGATCTGAGGTGTCTACGCTGCGTGCTATGGCTGCTGAAGTTGCTGCTGCCAAGGCTGCCGCAGCTGAAGAGGAAGCCGCCAAGGTGGCCGCCAAGATGGCCGCCGAGGAGGCTGCCCGTCAAGCAGAGATCGAGAGCAACATGGCGACGAAGATCCAGAGCCACTGGCGTGGTATGGCTGCTCGATCTGAGGTGTCTACGCTGCGTGCTATGGCTGCTGAAGTTGCTGCTGCCAAGGCTGCCGCAGCTGAAGAGGAAGCCGCCAAGATGGCCGCCGAGGAGGCTGCCCGTCAAGTAGAGATCGAGAGCAACATGGCGACGAAGATCCAGAGCCACTGGCGTGGTATGGCTGCTCGATCTGAGGTGTCTACGCTGCGTGCTATGGCTGCTGAAGTTGCTGCTGCCAAGGCTGCCGCAGCTGAAGAGGAAGCCGCCAAGATGGCCGCCGAGGAGGCTGCCCGTCAAGCAGAGATCGAGAGCAACATGGCGACGAAGATCCAGAGCCACTGGCGTGGTATGGCTGCTCGATCTGAGGTGTCTACGCTGCGTGCTATGGCTGCTGAAGTTGCTGCTGCCAAGGCTGCCGCAGCTGAAGAGGAAGCCGCCAAGGTGGCCGCCAAGGTGGCCGCCAAGATGGCCGCCGAGGAGGCTGCCCGTCAAGCAGAGATCGAGAGTAACATGGCGACGAAGATCCAGAGCCACTGGCGTGGTATGGCTGCTCGATCTGAGGTGTCTACGCTGCGTGCTATGGCTGCTGAAGTTGCTGCTGCCAAGGCTGCCGCAGCTGAAGAGGAAGCCGCCAAGGTGGCCGCCAAGATGGCCACCGAGGAGGCTGCCCGTCAAGCAGAGATCGAGAGTAACATGGCGACGAAGATCCAGAGCCACTGGCGTGGTATGGCTGCTCGATCTGAGGTGTCTACGCTGCGTGCTATGGCTGCTGAAGTTGCTGCTGCCAAGGCTGCCGCAGCTGAAGAGGAAGCCGCCAAGGTGGCCGCCAAGATGGCCGCCGAGGAGGCTGCCCGCCAAGCAGAGATCGAGAGCAACATGGCGACGAAGATCCAGAGCCACTGGCGTGGTATGGCTGCTCGATCTGAGGTGTCTACGCTGCGTGCTATGGCTGCTGAAGTTGCTGCTGCCAAGGCTGCCGCAGCTGAAGAGGAAGCCGCCAAGGTGGCCGCCAAGATGGCCGCCGAGGAGGCTGCCCGTCAAGCAGAGATCGAGAGTAACATGGCGACGAAGATCCAGAGCCACTGGCGTGGTATGGCTGCTCGATCTGAGGTGTCTACGCTGCGTGCTATGGCTGCTGAAGTTGCTGCTGCCAAGGCTGCCGCAGCTGAAGAGGAAGCCGCCAAGGTGGCCGCCAAGATGGCCGCCGAGGAGGCTGACCGTCAAGCAGAGATCGAGAGTAACATGGCGACGAAGATCCAGAGCCACTGGCGTGGTATGGCTGCTCGATCTGAGGTGTCTACGCTGCGTGCTATGGCTGCTGAAGTTGCTGCTGCCAAGGCTGCCGCAGCTGAAGAGGAAGCCGCCAAGGTGGCCGCCAAGATGGCCGCCGAGGAGGCTGCCCGTCAAGCAGAGATCGAGAGTAACATGGCGACGAAGATCCAGAGCCACTGGCGTGGTATGGCTGCTCGATCTGAGGTGTCTACGCTGCGTGCTATGGCTGCTGAAGTTGCTGCTGCCAAGGCTGCCGCAGCTGAAGAGGAAGCCGCCAAGATGGCCGCCGAGGAGGCTGCCCGTCAAGCCGAGATCGAGAGCAACATGGCGACGAAGATCCAGAGCCACTGGCGTGGTATGGCTGCTCGATCTGAGGTGTCTACGCTGCGTGCTATGGCTGCTGAAGTTGCTGCTGCCAAGGCTGCCGCAGCTGAAGAGGAAGCCGCCAAGGTGGCCGCCAAGATGGCCGCCGAGGAGGCTGCCCGTCAAGCAGAGATCGAGAGCAACATGGCGACGAAGATCCAGAGCCACTGGCGTGGTATGGCTGCTCGATCTGAGGTGTCTACGCTGCGTGCTATGGCTGCTGAAGTTGCTGCTGCCAAGGCTGCCGCAGCTGAAGAGGAAGCCGCCAAGGTGGCCGCCAAGATGGCCGCCGAGGAGGCTGCCCGTCAAGCAGAGATCGAGAGTAACATGGCGACGAAGATCCAGAGCCACTGGCGTGGTATGGCTGCTCGATCTGAGGTGTCTACGCTGCGTGCTATGGCTGCTGAAGTTGCTGCTGCCAAGGCTGCCGCAGCTGAAGAGGAAGCGGCCAAGATGGCCGCCGAGGAGGCTGCCCGTCAAGCAGAGATCGAGAGCAGCACGGTTATCGCATCTCGAGAGGTAAATGAGATGCGAAAGCAGCGTCAAGCGTCTCTAATGGCTCAATTGAGTCTTAAGAATGTAATGGCGCTGAAAATACAGTGCTGGTGGCGGAGGTCAGTTATAGTGAACGAGGTTGCAAAACGGCGACAAGCAGATCGCCAGGCGAAAATTGAGGTGAACAACGCACGGATAATTCAGGCCACATGGCGTGGCTATAATGGACGGAATGATGCCGCATCATGGCAATCTGAGAGAAATTCTCGGCAAGAGGAGTCTGACCTAGCGGCATCCCAAATGTGTCGGCAGCCTACGTTGGTAGAGCTTCAGCTTCTAAGTCAAACAGGACGTTTTTCTAACCTGTCGGACGACAGTGATGGCGACTCCGAGTTTGAAGACGCACCAAGCTTCGTTGGTGAAGTCCCATTTGCTCTAGCCTCGATGCAATCCCAGGAGTTACTTGACAATGAACGGGACTCATCACCTCGACTATCCCGTAGTGATTTCGGCGCGCGGATTTCTACAGGCTCGGTGAACATGGCGCCTGAGTTTTCAATTCCTGAGTACAACTCGGCATTTAATGACGATAGAAGTGATGCGAGCAGCGACATTTTTGTTGATGCAATGGAGGAAACCAAGCTAATTGAGCATGGCCTTTACAATTCAAGTGCCGACGAAGATCGTCACAGGACGGAAGAAAGCAACAGTTCAGCATCCGACCTTGCCACGGATACATCTGTTTGTGAGCCTGGCACTTTTCCACCTTCACCTATAATGGAAGAGAGCCTCGAGAAGGCCGGCAGTGAGCGTCCAAGCAGCAGCATATCCGATTTCGATCGACCATCTTCTGTCCGCTCTGGGTCTTTCATCCAAGATATGTCATTTGACTTGGACAAACCTCGTGGAAGTTTGGCATCAAGTTCGCTAAGTGGAATATCTCAAACTCGTGATGAATCATCTACTGACCCGTTCCGCTCTCGTGAAGACTCGTACGCTGACTTAACTCGAGATTCATATGCTAACTCGATACGGTCTCACAACGATTCCTTTGCTGATGTGTCTTGTGATAAATCATCTGCTGACCCGTTCCGTTCCCGTGAAGACTCGTACGCTGACTCAACTCGAGATTCATATGCTGACTCGACACGGTCTCACAACGATTCCTTTGCTGATGTGTCTTGTGATGAATCATCTGCTGACCCGTTCCGCTCCCGTGAAGACTCGTACGCTGACTCAACTCGAGATTCATATGCTGACTCGACACGGTCTCACAACGATTCCTTTGCTGATGTGTCTTGTGATGAATCATCTGCTGACCCGTTCCGTTCCCGTGAAGACTCGTACGCTGACTCAACTCGAGATTCATATGCTGACTCGACACGGTCTCACAACGATTCCTTTGCTGATGTGTCTTGTGATGAATCATCTGCTGACCCGTTCCGTTCCCGTGAAGACTCGTACGCTGACTCAGCTCGAGATTCATATGCTGACTCGACACGGTCTCGCAACGATTCTTATGCTGATGTGTCCCGGCCTCGCGACGATTCTTATGCTGATGTGTTCCGGTCTAGTGACAACTCGTATGATAGTGAGTTCCGGCCACGTGGGGACTCGTACGATGATGTTCTCTCCAAGTCTCGTACCGACGAAGAGTTTCGGTCTCGCAACTATTCTTATGCTGATGTGCTCCGGTCTAGTGACAACAACTCGTACAATGGTGAGACCCGGTCATGTAGGGATTCGTACGATGATGTTCCCTACAAGTCTGGTAATGATGAAGCGAATCTTAGCGATGCGGAAAACCGAGAAGGCCTGAAGTACTTCGATTCTGAAAGTGACCGCGAAAGCTCGTTCATCAGTGATTATCCGGTGACGGGACACAATACCAACGAAATCGAGAAGAACGAGGCGCATGAAGAGGAAGAAGCTGTACACAAGAAAAATGGCAGCCGCTGGCGTGGTGCAAGCGTGCTTAGTGCGCTTTCAAGTCGTCATTCGAGCAAACCGACAAGTTCACCCGCGTCATCTTTCGAAGATGAGGAAAAAGATGAGACGAAAGGACGTATGAGCGTTATGCCTTCGGTTTCTAGCTTGAGCTCTGTTGCTACTATGCTCACCCGAAAGCTTTCTGTCCCGATGAGCAACTCTACTAGCACGAAATCGTCTGAAGCTGAGACTGAAGAATCGATCGTGGTCTCACCGCTGGCACAGCAGGTTCCCAAGACTAAGTCTCGTTTTGGCCGCTTTGCTGCTCCAAGTGTGTCCAAGTCGTCCTTCCCAACGCGTTTCGCCTGGAAGAGCTAACCTCGTCGCGGTACGAATGAAGCCGACGATGGAAAACTAGTAGACACACAAGCCGCCTAGTCAATTTGACTAAGAACAACTTGCTTAAGCAAGTATGTATATGTATTCGCATCGAAGACCAATGTATTTGTTTGGCTGCTACTATTTACTCGTCAGAATCTGCTTTACTAGTATTTAAGTACATATAGGACTGCTGCTGCAATTGGTGTCGATCTTGTTATTCGCAAGCCGAGTTATCAGTTTGCTTAAGGCCTGCACTTTTCCGTTATAAATGTAGTGGTAAGGATACACTAGTTGCTGCGCAGTGCTCGGAAAACTTGAAATGGGGTCCTGCAAAGTCGTTTTGCCATACTTTAGAAAACCCAGGGTGTCCGCAGAGGTATTTTCGATGGACTTGAGCGTTGATCTGGAACATTTGCGTTCAAGAAGCAGTCGTAACTGATAGAACCAAGCTACTTGAGTGACGAACGGAGCTGGTGGGTAAGGACACTTCCGCTGACTTTGCCAACGATCAAATGGAGAATTTGCTCTTGGACGACTCCCTTGGGGAAGTAAGTCAATCCAGAGATTTTGAAGCTGCTTGTCGCAAGCGTCCAGTTCTCGCAAGTTGAATAAAACGATGACTTGAAGGAGAGTGAGTTCTGCCTCGACGACGCCGTCGTAAATCTGCTGGCTGGTCTCGCCGTTTAGTGTCCGTGCCGAATTGGCTAGTCGATCGAGCTGATTGAGGGCAGCAAGATGCTGTTGATGCTGCCCTCCGTCTGGCGAGCCGGTGGCAGTCATGATTGTTGTAGAGGAATGGCAGTAAACGTACAGAATTTCCCACGGAAGAAGTTGCAAGTGCTCATCACTTCTGTCCAAGTAGTCTGCTAATCGTTCGTGCAATGAAGCAGACTCCAGGTCTTCTTCATTGTCCTTCAGTCTAAGAGCCAAAAAACGTCGCGCAGACCGCAGAAGGATTCGCACTGAGTTTAACAACTTCGCACCTGTAGCTTCATGAGACTTCAATAGATAACATGCCGCAAGGAAGAGACTGCTAAGTCCACGCAATTTTGCCGGCGCGCTAGCGGACTTGCAGATAGCCATATACTGCGGTACTGCATCTGCAAGCTCGCGAGCTAGAAAGTGGCGATACCCGACGTCAAACCGCACAAGATGTGCGCGCTCATTGTCATTTGAAGCTCGAGCTAGTTCAACTGCGAGAAGCTTTGGCCGATCGCCATCAAAGTTTACTAAAGTTGCTTCGACCCATAGGAATACCAACGATTTTGGATGCCGCTGAAGTGCTGCTTGCCTACAAGCACTAATGGCGTTAACAAGCTCGTCACCGACTCCCTGGTTCTTACGCTGTCGCACGAGCCGAATCGCCCCAGAACAGTGCAACAGTGTTAAAGCAGCCCAGTTCGCTTGGACACAGTGGCTACCTTCAATGATACTACTGCAGTCGATTAAAAACTCCAGCCCTCTCTTTATATCACACGCGCCTATTAGTAAAGCACCAACCCAATCAAATGTGGTCTTATTCGCAAATGCACCGCCAGCGTGAAGTACCCCCATACCAAAGCAAATCCGCTTTCGAAAGGTTTGCAACTCGCTATAAGGCATCAATAGCCGATCTCTCTTGGTAAACTTTGTACAAAAATTCTCGTACAGCTTGACGTATATTGCTGCGCAACGCCTTGCAGTAGCAATTGCAGCCAAACGCTGATCGCATCCAAGACGTAATAATGCCGACAAAAAGAGAGCCTCAGCAAGAACTAGTTGTGTCTGCCTTCGACTTGAATATGACAGCGAAGACAACTCACATAGACTCTCGAGCCAAGCAACTGCCTGATTCGCCACATGCTGAGCCTGCTTTGCGTACAAAGTATCATTGGACACCAAAACTCGCACAACCTCAAGCTCCACAGCGAGCAAACACACCGTCGGGTCGCTACCGGCCGACAAAGAATGCAAAACCTCATAGGCCTTTGTAAGCTGATGCTCCCAAATTAACGTATGAGCTTTTCGTATCTTGCTTTGCAGCTCAGCCTCATTTTGAACCGGTGAAAACTGCATTGGTCCTGAACTCATCCACTGTTTCTGTATCTCTATTTCAAGCTCAGCACGTTTACGATCACGAAAACGGACACGTCGGTGACTGAACGATATGTTGCGATTGTCGCTTGAAGTTACGAGCGGGTACCAAAGCTCAGCAAATTGACGAGATGACAAGCCACGAGCTCGAATGCCATCCACGCTAATGACTATGTGTCCTGTGTGAACTCTCGCTACTCCCTTCCATTGGGCCTCATCTTCCTTGATTACAACTGCCAATATCTCGTTTGTCACCCGTTGCACTACATATTCACGACTAAATAGCTCTCGGGAAAAAGTAAAAGCAGCATTGACACAGTCACAGGGCAGCAATATCTCGTACTCTCCAAAATCAATGGCAGAACTCATTTCAATTGTCAATTCGACTAGGAATTAGTGCTGAAAATGGAATGGTTAGCGACTAATTGAGACCCAGCGACTTGACTGGATCGTCTACGGAGCTGTAGCTACTGGTGCCAATTTGACACGCGAAGATAAAATACATGCAGCAAAGTAATATACCATAAATTACCGAGTCTGTCAGAATCGATTACGAAACATTTATTGTGATACATTTATTGTGAAAGGATATCAGTAAAATGAGGTTTCGCACCCGTGTTCGAGATGAGGCATGGCCAGAAGGACGCAATCGTTATGACCCTCTTGCATGATTGCCCACCTATTGCAATAGCGATGGATTACAAGGTAATACATTGTTGTTAATCCATTTGAAAAGTGTCACCAACGGCTGTCGTCCTGTTTGTCTAGTTCAAAACAGTGGGGGAGGCACGTCCAGCATCCCGTTAAATTTTTGGACGAAGAAGAGCGCGATCGGCCAGACTATGAACAATCCTATCAGCGAGCCGGCAAGCACATCGGTCGGGTAATGCCGGCCAAGCGCCAGACGCGAGAAATTGATGATCAGCGCCCAGATGACGGACATTACAACCAGCATAGACGGAGAAAGACCGAGAAAAAATTGGCGAAGAATCCACGGATGCGTCTCTGCAAAGTACACGAGCATAGCCACGATAGCCCACACCCGCGTGGAGTGTCCTGACGGGAACGAATGCTGGTCTGGGCCTACAAAGCGCATGTCTGCCTCATGAAAGGGTGGTCGTTGGCGGTGAAATACCAGCTTCAGCAGCATAATGGCAAAGATATCCACTGTCATGACAGTGTAGAGCGTTGACAGTAGTATCTTCGTGGCAGGTTCAAAGGGCCCGATCAGACCAGCGACCCAAAGCAGCCCCATGAGTGGAGGGATTGTAAGGATCCAGCTTTCAGACATGGAAATTAATAGACAAATGCTGTTAGCCACGGAATCCTATTGACTTATACGGAAAGCAGATCCTTACAGGAAGCCATCGCCCGAGTGGGAGAATATCTCCCAACATAGACGCGGTGTCGGATCACGACCGAAGCGACGGTAGAGCTTGGTTGACCATGTCAAATCGTAGGCATACAAGCGATCAACGAGACTCATGCTTTGCTGCGGCTCAAAATCTGGCGTGGGGTCAGCGCCGTGGATTGAGCCGTAGCTGCTCATACATACCAAGGGAGTGGTAACAAGCATGTGATTGGTTAAAAATGCAAGCTGAATAGATCATCTTCTGACAAATGATGGTACTGCATACGATACTCCTGACAATTATTTGCCTCTAGTAATATATAACCTTTTTATAATAGTCCTGCTTGGCTATTGACTTCATTCAATCCATCGAGTCGCTCTGATTTTTTTCTATCGACTAGATAACCAAAACAATGACGATGCAGCTTGTCCGATGATTTTGGTCTCACTTGTCTAGTATACACCACGCAATCAGTCTTGCCTTTTAATGGGCAAACCCTTGTCATTACGATCGGGTAGCACTTTGAAATTATAATAGGCAGCAGCGCCGACAAATCCATGCCAGCATCCGTGAAAAAATCGGAACGGGTCGGTGTCATCATCCAGTCCGCGCACAAAGCACCCAATGCCACATAACAACAGGAGCAATCCTCGTCGAAAATGCTGCAAGTTGTATTTAGGCACCCGCCTTTGGTATGTAAAGCTAATCAAGAGCATTGTAAAGCTGCTGACAATGGGGATCACTGAATTTCGATCGTCCCATGGGTTCTTTTCCTGAAACATTAGCACAATAGCCAGGAAGAAGTACTGCACATATCGCTCAAACACTGGATGACGCAGGTCCATGAGGTGAATAATCCACATGACAAAACTCATGATAGACCCCACATTATCAAGCCGATGCCATTGTCCTTCAGTGAGCCATAGCGGGCCATCGATACTGTCACATACGTGATACATGAAGCTAGTCACCATTGTAAACATGCCGATAAATGCCTGTGACACGATATTGTACGCGTTAAAATCTGGACGAAACACTGGCTCCTGTTTTCATTTTATAACAAACCTCAAAGACAAATTGTCGATGGTAAAGGCTGTATATGGCGGGAAACATGCACACGTTGGTAACTCCTGTCACGACGAGCATCATCGTCATTTCAAAGGAGGTCCTCATGCTGATTCAAGGCTTGAAAAAAAAACAAATATCTGGACAATGAATTCCCTTAGAAAAGACGTAATCAAAGTGATCATATTTAAGGGGAAACTTTTAGCATTAAATGTTAAGTCTGACTGTTGCAAGTATGGGTATCTCGATAGTATAAATTATTATAAAATTTCTAGCGGGTAGTAGCAGTTGTCGAAAGGCTAATGCAACGTAATTTCTTTTAATTTCTCGGGATTCCCCCATTGGGGGGCACTCACTGTACGATAGCTTAGTACCGACATTCATAGACATACTATGCTGTTTGCGCTAGTTAAGCTCCTATCTAGTTTTAGGTATACATTTGAGATCAAAAATATGGCAGTAATAAGAAGCTGTTGGATATAGAGCGTTGTGTTTGTTTTTGTGTCACGAAAAAACACGTATAATTGCGATTAGTGTAACGGGGAGAGCCCGTTACATAAAAAATATTATTATAACTAATAATATTTTGACAATATTACCTTCTCTTATAATGTTGTCCCTAGATCTCCTTGAAGTTGGAGATGCCCTCTCATTGGTTGATATGGGCCATTATATCAACCAACGCGCTGACCAATGACCGATAAGCGCGCGCAACGAGTGGAGGGCAAGCTGTCAACATACATAGTTGTAGTTTAATATAGTTAACATAGGTTATAACAGATTAGTTTTATCAAGATAGTTAACTATATTAATTACTGTTTTCTTTTCCTTCTCAACTAAGCGTTTGTTTAGTTGATTCCCTTCCTCTGCTCACGTGTACGTGAGGTAATTGAGGCACCTACTTTCACTGTAATCAGTGAAAGTAGACTATACTGTAATCAGTACAGTCGGAGGGTGCCCCATTACACCTGGTAGCACTTCGTGGTCCGTTCAGCGACCACCGCACCATCCGCTATGGAATCAGCGGGTGATGAACGTCATCACGCGTTGCGTGATGATTTACGCCATTTGAGTGACCTCGAATGGAATGCGGTTCAGCGTATGGCTGAAACCATCGGCAACCCTGCCGTTGGTGCCATGTTGCTCTCTCTTAGCGGAGAGCAACCATCGCCAAGTTCATACAACATGAACTTGACGAAGTTGTAAAGAAACTCACCTTGCTAGAGGAGCAAGGTTGTAACGGGCTAAGAACCCGTTACCGTCTTACACTAAAAGGGCGTAGAGGAAGCGCTCTTAATGAACTCGTAAATATAACTCTGTTTTATTTTTGTTTTAGTTTTAATTCGCAGTAAGTGCAAATTGTTCCCTAGCTCATGGGAATCACTCAATATGGAAGTCAATTTATTATTGGCTAATTATTGGGTCTGGCACCCCAATAATAAACCAATAATAAAATGACGCGCAGTATCCGCTAATCGGATACTGCCCTATGCCTACTTATGTAATTATGTATTAATCCTATAACTACTTATGTAATAGGTAGACCCATTACATCACCCCACCTCTTTAAGTTGCGCTTACCTCAACGTAAGCGCGAATCGCAGAAAGTTTCTTCTCGACCAACGGCGCAACTCCGAACCTGCTCAGTTTGGCTTAACTGAGCAGCATGGACCCTAGGCGTCCACGAAACAATGTCTCTGACAGCCAGAACTGGGAACACCAAGCGACAATCCGTAGAGATCAGGCGCCGCAGGTCATGGATGGGGACTTGAAACCGTGACGCTTGTATGGTCTTGAAGGTGCTGTCGAACCCGAGCCACTGGAGGTCATGAAGGACCTTTTCACGCGATACCGTACAGTGAGAGGCAAGGCGACGAACAACGCGTATACCGACGATGCGTTGCAGAGGTCTTGGTGTGCCTGCATCAGGCGCTGGAACGCGAGCCGACGTGAAGGAACGTCCTTCACGTCCTGGTTAGACGGTCGCGAGTGAACGCGTGATAGACACGCTATTGGCGACCTGCGCCGGCGCATCTGTCGTATGACTTGTGACGAGTATCATCTTTGTTATGTCCACATTCGTGAGGGATGTCCAACGTGCAACGTGGGCAGATCGCGACCGGTCCGGCAGGAATGGGACGACTTGGTGTGTGTGCGAGGCATGCCCGACCATATTCGTCCATGGATCGCCCGTTATGAGAGAAGCCTTTCGGAGCTCCAGGTGTACGAGCTACGGCGAGTGGGAGCGCGTCCTTACGATCGCCGACGGCATTCACGTAGCCGAGGTCGTCAACCGTATCATCCATATGCTCCCGAGCCTCGTAATAGATCTCGGTCTCGGAGTCGCTCGGGAGGTCGTCGCGGTTTCGTTGCTCGCGAGCGTTACGGCTCGCGAGATCGGGGATGGAACCGGCAGCGTCGGTCGCGATCACCGTCTTTCTACGGGGCTCGTAGTCCTCGACCACGTCCGGGACATCTTGGGACAGCGTACTCGATGGCTCCCATGTATCGTCCGCCGGGGAATATCCCAACCAGCGAACCCTGTAATGTTTCTCGACATGCTTCTTCATGGGCGCCGAGTTATTACTCGACGCCTGGAACTTGTTATCCTCGTGATCGACAATCCGGTCGACAATCCAGCGTCGCGCACCCGATGCATCGACTAAGGGAGGAGGAGCATCACGACGGAAGACCTCTGGCGATGAGCGCCGATTCTCGTAATCGGACGCCTGTACGGTCGAATGATGAGCTGCGCCTACTTCGCGCTGAAGCCGAGGAGTCGAAGAATGCCCTACTTGATGCTCGTGAGATGGCTGAGAGAGCTCAAAATCGTGCGGATGCTGCGACTGAGGCTGCTGAGCGGACTCGACGTGAGCATCTGGTACTGGTTGAGCGCCTACGTCAACTCAAGACGACTGCGTTCGGAGGGCCTCAGCAGATCGAGTCTGCACGCGTTCGGGCAGGACTTGGTCCCAGTCGTCGTCAACGTCGTCGTCAAGGGATGTCGGATTTCGAGCCGGCACAGAAGAGCGGGGAAGATTCGAAGGGAGATCCGCCGGCAGGTAAGCCTTGAGGCGCCCGACGTAGAACGTCGGGTGCAAACGCATAGATGTAGGTATGTCTAGTGTGTAAGCGTCACCATGCACCTTAACAACCCGAAATGGGCCAATATATCTTGGCGCTAACTTATTAGCGCCCAAATTCGTCACTGAGGTGTTTGGTAATCCACTTGCTGATAACAATACTTTGTCACCTTCTTGAAATGTCAACATATTCTTTCGACCTCTTCTGTCTGCATTATACTTTTGCTTGTCGACTGCCTCTTGTAATGCATCACGCACAAAAAGCGTGATTCCTTGTCGTAATAGTAGAAATTCGGTTACTGCAGTCGAACTTACAGGCGACGTATGTTCTTTTGGAGCATTATTGGCAACGGAAGACGCGATGGAAAGCATCGCGTCAGGAGTAGATATGCCGTTGGCCACAAAATTACCAGTAGTAGGTGCATCGGCAGCAACCTTATGCGCATCGTAATCACTCATCAATAGTTTCGGCGCAATTTCATCCGTAGATACTCCCCCACCAAGCTTGGAGACAGGGTGTTCTGAAGCTGAGAGAGCAAGCAGCGCCGGAACGCGAGGATGACTCGCGTTGTTAACGAAAAAGGGCGTCAACCCGGTTGACGCGTGGACAGCATTGTTAATTGCAAACTCTGCAAGTGGAAGAAATGAACTCCATGATGATGTGGTGAAGTGCAATTTTTGTGATATGAAGGTCCCGGACTCCAGTTGGATTCAGAGTATAGGCCGTGGGTCAGGGACAGGGGACCAGAGAGACAGGGGCCTCGAAGGGGAGCGACCGTTGGTGGAGGACAATCCGCAGAGACCGCCGAAGAAAAATCAGCATCAGGGTACCGGTTAACCGGTACCAAAGGGAGTTGATCATGGCCGCTTATTGATCGACCTGGCCCCTCGTTGGTAGGCCCGGGTTCCTCATAGGTCGACCTGGGTCCCTCATCGGTCGACCTCGGCCCCTCATCGGTCGACCCTCGGCCCCTCTTTGGTCGACCCGGTCCCTCATTGGTAGACCTGGGTCCCTCATCAGTCGACCTCGGCCCCTCGGGGTTCAGCCACTCCGTACCAGTTAATACAAGGATCAGACTAGTCGACGCAAGGAATCAGAGCTTCAGGCAAGGATAGAGTAAAGGAGGTAAAAGGATAGGACTATATTAAATACTACTCAATTTGCGATCTACGTGGCACGACTCCGTCACCCAAGAAGGACTTGTTCTAAGTTACTCACTGTTCCGGGAAGGGATATATTTGGCCCCCCGTCGAAGACAGTTGTGTAGCGAAGTTCAAGTGCGAATAGAGCTCCAGGATATATTTGGCCTGTGAGCTCGTTCGAGTAGCAACACCCCCCCCCCAAGACCCGCTATCGGAAGCGGTCTCCCTCACCTCAAGGTCCGGGAGTAACGTAAAGGTCAGGTGGTTAATACCCCTGAAACAAGAAGGAAAAGGCCAGGGACGACAAGCTCCCTGAAGAATTTGGCTTTAAGTCCACTCTCGACAAGGTCGATCGAGTGGCTACCTACCGGCCCACCGAGTGAAGCATATCCACTCGAGGCCCCCCCAGGTCTACCTCCCTCAAGGCAGACATCTACATCGTCACCAAGTCCTCCGAAGAGTGCAACCCGCCAGCCGACGGGTACACAAGGTGAGAGAAGGTTCATACGCGGCATCGGGGTACCCCCTCCGACAGTCGGCAGTCCGGCACAGTGAGTGGTTTGGGGTCTCATCATACAATTTTGAGAACCCACTCCACCACAATGAGAACGATGTTGCATAACTGCGCAAGACATCTTCGAGCACTCTGTTGACACGCTCCGTTTGCCCATCCGTCTCTGGATGGGCCGCCGCAGACATAAGCAACCGCGTGCCTAATAGCTGGAATAATTTGGCCCAGAAAGCCGAAGTGAAACGCGGGTCACGGTCCGAAACAATAGATTCTGGCAAGCCGTGATGCCTAAAGATAAGATCAATGAAGATCTTCGCTGTCGTCTCCGCCGTAATGTTGGCGGAGACCGGAGCAACATGCACGATTTGCTG